GGAGGGGGGAAGGGGGAGGTTCTTGGTGTGTTTTTCTACAAATAGCGATAGTGCCGCCCGACATTGCAGATAGTGGGTGGGTAGGGTGGTTTTGGTGAAGCAGAAAGAAGATGCGCGATAATTGAGGGACATGAAGGAAAACAGTGTTGGGCGGTGGTGACATGGAATACTTGATCAGGCAGTCACTGTTATCATTATCATCGTCACTATTAACAGCATTGAGCCATCTAATCTATTAATCGAACTATCTTACTATTATCTTATTATGACCTGAGTTAATTTTCTCAAACTAATTTCTCAACTAATTTCCTAATTATAATCTCAAACGCTCTTGGTCGTTTTTCTCTATTCCTGTCTAACTAGCATAAAAGGTATTTCTATACCTTTAATTTCTTGTGAAATTTCTATTTAATATAACTGTTTATTTTTCTTAAGTTTTAATTTTCAATTCTTAAATATCTAAAGTTCTAAATTCCGAAATTCTGATTCCGTATCTCTAAATTTCAAACTCTGATTACGTATCACTTTCCTAATGCCAAAAGTCCATAATTTTGATTTTATTTTTCCGTTTCACTTTCTTCTTCGTAAATCACTATTTTTTTTTCCCAATATAGGTTGTGTCTCGAAATGTTTGTGGTCTCCTCTCTGAGTTTCGAAGTCTAATTTTGATGGATGGAAAGTGAGGGTAAGGGGGGAGCTTCACTCTGCAGGGGCTTCATAAGGTGGGGGGTGTAGTCCTGGAGGGGGTGTGAGCAGAGTCTGTGGGATTGCCTTATTCTGGGGTTGGTAGTGGGGTTACTCACATCAGCGGGGGCAGTCTAAGGTAAAAGATGTGCAGGGGTATACTTTGGGAGGGAACTGTATGCTCTGTTGGAAAGGGGGGGGGAAGGTGGTACTGTCCCAAGTTGGGGCTGTGATGGGACGCCTGTAATGAGGGTAATCTGTTTCAGCGGAGGCAGCATTGGGATAGTGTGGAATGAAGGGGGGGGGGAGACTAATTTTAGGTGAAGTATTATCATCTTCTATGTAATAAGACGTTGGTGGCTTCTAAGCCTCTTCTTTATTGGGGATATAGGATCTCAGTGATGATCGAATCTGGATCGATTTCTGCTGTGTTGCTCTGTTCTGTGCTCCTGTTTGCCTATACCAGAACGACGCTGGCCGGAGCTGGGGTGTGGCCCTGTAACCTGCATTCGACAGGAGCGTGAGGCCTTGTACAGAGATCTGGGAATTTGCTGAGAAAGGAAAGCAATCCAGTGACAAACCAAGGGGGCTGCCTGGACAACCTCGGGGGCCAGGGATAGTCTAGGTGGCGAGAACAGGTCAGCTATGGCAGACTTTTGGTTAGGAGGAGATCGTCTCTAAGATGTAATATCTTGGNCCTCGGGGGCCAGGGATAGTCTAGGTGGCGAGAACAGGTCAGCTAT